GTCTACCAGTTGGAGTATGTAGAGTCATGTCATCTACATAGGCGAGACCGGTTGACAACTTTCGTGTTTCTAAATGAACATCTGGCTAGTGAAGGATGGCAGAGTCTCACAAGTCCGTTAGGGGAAGCACAGAAAGGAAGTCCACAACGGGACAATTTTCACATTTTTTCACGCGTTTGAAAAGCATATTTCTGCTCGGAAAGCATTCATAGCTTCATACATTCTTGTGCGCAGCGCTGCGGTGAACAGCGAGAACAAGCAGTTGTCTATAACGAATGATTTACGGCCGTTCCTATCATTTTGTGAGCTATAAGAGTCGAACTACTCGAACGCGTGCAAGTCAGCTGTACCGCTCAGTCTTATTGCGATACGTGGGCAGTAGGAAGCTAAGTGAGCCAGCATCTGCTGAGCTCTGTGGAACTTTAGTGAATCAACATAACATAACATGTAACTTGGACTCATCGTTGCCGCATCGTTAAGGAGGAGTCGAATATGTAATATAGCAGAGGTGTATAAACATCTGATAGGTAATTAACTCACTTCCAGGCCTTTAAGGATGAAGTTAAGCCGAAACGTCTGGCCAAATAAACGTGTTCCTATACAAACCTGTTACGGCATAAGAAAAACATAAAGACCAAATCATAATCATGCCTGTTTCAAGAGAAAAATCTTATGGGTCAATGACATATTTAGAAGTTTTACCTTTAGCGTATCATGCAGTGATTAATAAAACTTACGTGATCCACATATTCAAAACGACCATTATATTTAGAATTTTACCTTTAGTAGGGTGGTTACTGAAAATTTGCGTCACCCACGTAATATACAACCAATTGGGCATTCAAGATTATGATGATTAAGCTGTTTCGAAGCCGTTTTTCTTTAATACGTAGGTGCTTTTCTGTATGAAAGAGTAATGCTTTCACTTTTACTTAATATCCTAGATAGTTCCATAATTTTACACAATTATTCATTATTTTCTGTACTTTTTCAATTTGTAATCAACCACAGCA